TGCAATAATACTACTGTATTATATATTATTATTGTTATGTCAAAAATATTTAATTTCATTTTTATTTGAATTTTATTATACTTATTATTTATAATAATAATAAAAACAACAATTATTCAAAATATTTTTATTTTATTATTATTTAAATATTTGCAATAATTGCAATAATTTATTTGTAAAATACAAATCTGAGCATTTCATAATAATAATAAATAAGATGCTGTTTAGTGGTTTTGGAGCAAAGCTATTAAAAATGAGTTAGTTCATTAAAATAATGGTTTGTAATGAAGAGCAATGACGAAAAAAAAAGAGAGAAACAAAGTGAAGGAGCATGAAAAACAAGGCAGATAGAAAAAGAATGAAACATTTAGCGATTCCATACATCTCTGACTGGAGTGACGTCATGACATGTGACTGTGCTGTAGCCTGAAGAGGTGCACACTGGGTAATCATGAGCGCTCTTTATGTGTGATCAGTCTAACACCCCCGACGACACATTACAATCTTCTGTGATCATTTAAATGAAAAGAAAAACCGTAAAAGAAAAAAATTAATCTTTCTGGTCAAAGAGAGGTGGTGCAATGTGCAAGCGGGAATCCAGTCACATGACACAAACCGTTTGCGTGCACACACACACACACACAGACACACACACACACACACACACTCAAGTGTGCTCATGACACACACAGGTGAGGTGTGGAGGGGTTTAAGAAATGCATGATGGGACACAGAAACAGGGACCCATGACATCCAGAGGAACACAAGGGAGGCCTCCCAATCTCAGGGAGCCGGGAAAAGGGTGATGGGGGTCAAAGGTCAAAGGCTGAGGGCGGATGGAAGGTTGCAGACAACATGCACAAACGGAGCGGTGGTGCGCTGAGCCCTGAGCATGAGCAGTCGGACCCTCTCAGACCAGATGGAATAACTACGGAGCTCTGAGCCTCAGAATGCTGAAAATTCTGACGGACACATCTGTCAAGATGCATACAAGTGGATTAGGTTTAGAGTTCAGTGACCCTTCAGTTCCTGTCCCAGTACCGACAAGCACAAAAAAGCACAAGAGCAGGGTTCCCCAATGTAAAAAGCCCATTCGTTTCCTCCATACAACATAATATCAATTATAATATCATTCAAATATCATTTATACACATTTATATACAGTGGGTACGGAAAGTATTCAGACCCCCTTAATAACAAAGAGTGAAAAATTTAAGGGGGTCTGAATACTTTCCGTACCCACTGTATATAATTCAAATATAATTGATATAAATTATGCACATAATATATAATTTTTTATAACATATAATATTTAATACATTTGATTTAATAAAGTTTGCATATTTTAATTTTGCAATAAACTTTGAATACATAGTAGTTTCTACCTAAAATCAATAGTTAATTGGTTTATATACATTGCAATGCTTTCTGAGATAAATAGTTCATTTAAGTACAGTGGCTTTGTTCAGAAAAGCATGCTAATTTTACTATTTTGGCGCACATATAATGTGCAATTAAAATGCAAATTACAACAATAATACAACATTATTATTTATATATTTTTTAACATTTAGTAATATAATGTTTACATATTTGAATGTTGCAATAAATTGAAAACATAGTATTTTCACCTAAAATCAATTATTAGTAGTTCATTCCCATTTAAGTACAGCGGCTTTGTTCAGAAAAGCATGCTTAATGTACTTTTCATTGTGCATATAACATGCTATAAAGCAAACTGCATGGGAAAATGTATTTCTACACAAAACTGAATTAAAATGCAAAATAACCCCAATAGTTTCCGACATAATTGAATGCAACTTGCTAAATTTAACATGCAATGCAACAAAATCAAATTTAGTGATACAAATTAGCATGCTACTTTGTAAAGAGAAAATATTTGCCAATAGGGTTAGAAAATAAAACTTAAAGGGAAAACAATATTATTTTTCTTGCCCCATTGGCAGCTATTTGTTCTTGTTTTAAGCATAAACTCACTTAATTCTGACAGATTTTTCAGAAAGCAAGACTATCTTAAGCCGTGGTATTTCTCAAGTAAATGTATCTTGATTTAAGAATGCTTAGATATTTGTACTGGAAAACAAGACAAAAATACTGCATAAGAAAATATGAATGGAAATGATTTCACTTACTATTTTTAACCCAAATTTTTTTTTGCTAGAATACAGTGTATATCGTACAGTATGCAGTGAGATAGTATTCCATTGTGATCAAAACCACACACTTATAAAAAAAAAATCTCAGATTTTCAAACTTTTTTCAATTTCTTTTGTTTCATATCAAAGTTTAATTTCCAATCAGGTTGTTTTTGGAGAAAGCGAATGGAAAAAATACGTCCTGAAGCGATCATCGCTGTGCTTAATATTGCCTTTGGAAATCTAAAAGTGAAACTCTAATCAGTCCTGGTTTTAGATGCCACAGCTGTTTATTTCTGCTCGTCTGATTGGCTGATGGGATTGGATGTGTCTCCAGTCCAGACATGCAAGCGGCTGATCATTGTCTATGTGGCATTCTCTCTCACTGTCTCTCTAGAGTGTTGGTGGTGTTGTTGAGAGGTTGCTGGTTTGTACCTTTTCCTCCCATTTCTGGCCGGCTTCATCCCTCCGTCATCGGGGAAACTAATGAGCCCGCTCCAGTTGCCCACCTCCAATCCTTTGAGGCGGGAAAACTGTTGCCCACTAGTGAGAAAATGAGGCAGGTCGTTTAAGGTTTCATGTATTTGTTCAAGGCAGCAGAAAATGTCAAACACACACTGATTTGTAAAAATTTTTCATTGGTTTGGTTTAATCAAAGAATGTAAAAACTGGTGTATGATGTCAGGAGTGTCACTGATAATCTTCATGACAAAGAAGCAATCCAGAACAGCAAACACCATCAGATCAGCTGCAGTTCACAAGTACAGTGTCGCCAAAAGTTTTTAGACACTTCAAAAAGCCTCTGTGTCATTGCATCAGATGACAAAAATATCAAACCAAGTGGAATCTGCTTTTCTCACAACATTTTTCTGAGCCATTTTTGCTATTAATTAATCAAGTCTGCTTGTCCTTGCTTTCCTTAAATGAAAGATCAATTGGTTTGTTATTTTGTTATCTAATGCAAAGACATTCATACATTTTGAAGTGTGGCTCAAACCTTGAAAAAAAAAAACAAGTGTTGAACACACCTTACATTTTTTCTGTTACAAAAGTCACAATAAATTATGGAAAACAATGAATAGAGAGTGATGATTTATATACACTACCATTAATAAGATGTTTTTGAAAGAAGTCTCTTCTGCTCACCAAGGCTGCATTTATTACAGTAAACTACCGTAAAAATGGTAATATTGTGAAATATTATTAGAATTTAAAATATCTGGTTTCTGATTGATTATATGTTAAAATGTAATTTATTCCTGTGATCAAAGCTGAATTTTCAGCATCATTACTCCAGTCTTCAGTGTCACGTGATCCTTCAGAAATCATTCTAATATGCTGATTTGCTGCTCAAGAAACATTTCTGATTATTATCAATGTTGAAATCAGTTGTACTGCTTCATATTTCTGTGGAAATGGAGATAGTTTTTTTTTTTTCAGGATTCTTTGATCAATAGAAAATTCAAAAGAACAGTATTTCTTTGGAAATATATATCTGTATCTTTTGTCTTTACTGTCATTTTTGATCAATTTAATTCATCCATCATACTGACCCCAGACTTTTGAACGCTAGTGTATATAGTATTTAAAACTGAGGACAGATGTTGAATATCTTATTTTGCACATTTCTAGATAGTAATCTTTCTGGTGCTCATTTTGTCTTCAGTGCATTTTGGATTAAAACACTGGCAAAATCTAAAAAGGGGGATTGCAATAATCCAGATTATTTACAGGCGTTTTGGGAGACAAGACATTGACGTCTTAAAACATATTGTAAAAGCATAATAAAAAGATGAATATGTAACTACACTCTCAGAAACAAAAGGTACAAAAGCTGTCACTGGGGTGGTACCTTTTGAAAAGGTACACTTTTGTACCTTTTAGGTACTAATATGTACACTTTAGGTACTAAAATGTACACTTTAGGTATTAATATGTACCTTTATGGTACCAATATGGACTCTTTAGGTACAAAGGTGTGCCTTTTGAAAAGGTATCGCCCCAGTGACAGCTTTTGTACCTTTTTTTCTGAGAGTGTAGGATTCAAAAAAACTTGCATTAGTATATGTATTAGAACAAAATTGACAAATTTTACTAAACCGATGTCAGTTCGTTTCAGCGTTTTATTGGGACAAAAAATACTGGAAAAATGTTTTTTTTGGTCCAATAGCATGCAAAATTGTTTCAAAGCTTACAGAACTCTGATTTCATGAAGTCTTTAAGATGAATTCTGCTGTCCTAAACCAGTTCTCCCTGTATACATGCACATCCATTTTTCTACATGTCCTTAAAAGCATCAGTTTAATGTGGACATCAGCTCTTCAACGAGAAATGCAAACTCAGCTGCTAATGCGAAGAGGAGAGAGAGAGAGGTGGATATGAAGGACAGATGCGTTTCTGCAGTCGAGTAGATAATGAAGAGGTCACAGCTGAAGTAGTAGCTAAATGTCAATACGTTTTCTGCATGGCACAGCCACTTAGCCAATCAACATCTCCAGGACAAAGAAGACATTTCAAGCCTGGCACAAGACTGCAGAAGCTGATCCTAAATCTAGCACCAGTGTAATCAGAGCTAGGAGGAAAATGTAATAAAATAACCTTGTTGTATTTGATTCATACGCACAAACGTCTGTATATGCAGCACTCACCTCTTGTCCTGGCCAGTTCAGTGCGGTTTTATTTTTAGTTGTAACTCTGCGCCAACCCGACAGCTTTAAGACTTATTGCAATGACATTAGAAGGCCAAGTCCAGCATAAAGTGTTTTTTAATAATTCTAAGTTTGGCAGGAGCGTTTAAAAGGACGTTTTATTCAGTGATTTTATTCCCTTCTGTGGCTGCATTATTAATGCACGCATTTGTCAGTGTCTCCCAGCGGCAGCCAGGCTGGCGTGTACCTGAGCTGCAATAAAAATGTGTTTGTCACTGCTTTAATGTGAGGTGTAAATATCAAAATAACTTCTGACTGTCTCATGCTCACACATACGCAAGGACTGTGTTTGCTATATAAACTTTATCACTCAGATGTTGCTCATTCATAGCACGCAAGACTTAACTGTGTGCTCAATCATGTTTCATTTAAGCGTCTCAGGTGTTTCTCCTAAAAATTCTGAAGAAAATGTGAGTGGTGCTCAGGACTGGCTAAATATTTCTATATTCTCTCAAATTACATAACATTTTTTTAACTTTTACAATACATAAAAAGGCACGGTAGAAAGAATTATGTGTTATATGTCATTAAAACAGACTTTCAAATAATCCTAATTTGGCCATTTAGCAATAAATTCTTATAAACCTCCACCTCAGATTCAATGTTTCAAATGTTTTTCCAATATTTCGAGCTTGCTCTGCCTGTACAGTATTTTCTCTGCTGATGCATCTGTTCTCTCCTCTTTGTGTCTGTCTTTATTGTGTCCAGTCTCTGGCCTCTGGTAACATCGTGTTTACAGAAGCAATATTTATATTGCATTGTGATTGGGTTTACACTGCCAATACAGAATTTGTCCCTGCATGCGTCGACCCACCGGGAAAACGCCCTATATGCCAGATGGCCAAACAGCATTTGCCTTGGCAAACACCAGAAAAAAAAAGAAAGCAAAACCCATAGCCTTTAACTTGGTTATTGGGCAGAAATGTTTCATATTTAGACTATTGATTGTTTATAAAGAAAAAATAAAGAAAAGATGAGTCACATGATGATTCAGTAACCTCTCTGAAGAACGATTTTAAAGGGGTCATATGATGCGATTTAAATTTTTCCGTTCTCTTTGGAGTGTTACAAGCTCTTGGTGCATAAAGAAGATCTGTAAAGTTGCAAAGACTAAAGTCTTAAATCCAAAGAGATATTCTTTATAAAAGTTAAGAGTTCTCAAGCCCACCCGCCTCTGCTCACTCTAGCCCGCCGTGTGTGACGCTGTTTCTTTGTGAAAGCGAAACTACTTTGTTTGGAGCAGCATCATATGACCCCTTTAAACGATTCATTGAAAGATCCGAGTGGCGTGTTTATAATTTACTAAAAAGAATCGGTTCATAAGAGTCTGTTGTTCATTAATCAGACTATACTATTTGCACTGAATGTTTTCTAATCAAGATAGTATGGGACGCGCGATTAATTTAAAATAAAGACTTGTTTTCTTACCGTTATCTTGAATGGTATTTTTACCCCAACACATTCATGATCTCAACTCGAATGAATTAGTATTTCTTTTTAGAATTTTGGGCGTCTGCCGTAAACAGACGCAGTAAACGCTGACCAAGTAAGTAACAATGTGCATGCGCAAGTACTCGATAGCACGAAGCACCTTCCATATTTTTCTTTCACATCTGCCTTATTTTGTGGTCAAAACAAAAGAGGCATATTCAGTATTCAGTATTCAAACAAAGTACAGTTATTATGAAAAATATATTTGCTTAATTTTTTAAATTCTGAATATGTAAAGCATGGTGGCATGACTCACCACAATACTATGTGGTTCCAAAACAGCAGAAACCATCATAGAAGTTCTAATGGTTCTAAATACCATTATAAACATTACAAATCATCAACTGTTGACCATTAAAACCATTATCTGTGGTGTGTTTGGCCATCCTATTAGAATTTAGAGGTTTTGTCACCAATAGAAGGTGACAAATACCAGTAGAGACCCACAAGGACCATTACAGTTTCCAAACCAACACAATTCCCATTATAACCATTAAAAGCATTATAAATTCTGTGAGGGTTGCTATTGTTTTTTTCAGCAGGGATGGTTGTCAGGGCATTTCTATGCGGTTGCTAAGGTGTTCTGAATAGTTGCTAGGTTTTTTTTAGATGGTTGTCAGGTTGTTGTTTGCTTATTGATCCAAGTCAAAGGAGCACTTCATTTATAATACGCCTTTTTATGGCTTGATACCCTATTCAAGTTTATGGGATTTAGGAACTTTTGTTATTCTTCGCCATGCAGGGTTTGAGATTTGGTCAAATCCTTAACTGGATATATAGCTATTACCATTTGTCCATTTATCAGTAGCAAATAGCATTTGCCTTGGCAAACACCACTAAAAATATAGCATAACCCAGAAATATTAGCCTTGGGAGATAAATGTTTTATATTGAGACTTTTTGAGTTCATTTGATTGGTTTTGAGTTAATTTTCACAATGGGCTCTTAGGAAATCTGAGCTTAGTTTTTCATTCGCTGTTCTGAAACATTAAGGAAACACACATGAGGTTTAGAGTTTTTTTGTCAAAAGTCTCCATTTGGTGTCCATTTACTCTCATTGCTGGGTTTGAAGCTGCAGTTAGAGCCAAAAGCACTCACCCACCCCTACACTTGTTTCTCTCCACTTCAGCAGAATAGATACGGGGTACAGAACAGCATTCATGCGATCCGCAGCCGTCAGGCTCTGATGTCATGAATCCTGAGTGTGTGTTAGACGCAAGAGGGGGGTTCAGGTGGGAGTGTGAGAAAGCTCTAATTCAGCATATGGGCATCTGCTGGGACGCAGGAACCATAATGCACTGGGGGCGCTTCTTACGAGAGACGCCATTTTACATTGACAAACACACACACACACACACACTCAAACACCCTCGCAATGCTGAGCCATCTCACTCTGCTTACCTCCGTTCCCGAAAAAACTAAAATGATTCACCGTCTTCCGGGACTTATTCTCGGTATGATGTCATTTTGATGCAAGTGGCCCCAAAAAAGGCATGAAATCCGGATCTTACTAAACACCACCATGACTTAAATGCATAATTAATTTCTAGTGCTTGAATCTAGGCTATGTGCTCATGCAAAGAAGGCTACATCACAGTCTTCCAGTTTTTCTTCACAGCCTGACACAATTGCATATGATAAAATTCTGCAATATATGGCTTTTTGCTGTCACACACACAGGTTTATGCAAGATGTATGAGCTATTTAAAGGGCTGAAGGTAGAAAAAACAAATTAAGACGAGAAAAATAAACACAGAGGAAGAAGAAAACAGACTTAAGCATCTCGCTGCATAGACAGTCATTCAGGGGACTGTGTATGGCATGATTTAATGGAGCTTAAGTTTAAAAGAGATTTGGAGCCATATGGGTGCAATTAAACATGACTAAGATTAATTGCTGAAGACTATTTTGCACATGCCCTCATAGAACATTGCATTTTTTTTTTTGCATTATGCACTATTAAATAAATTAATCACCTTACCTTTTAATGTAGTTCTTGCCATAGAGGATTTGCTGCAATAAGGTGACCAGTCCAAAAGCACATATGAAAATAAAACACAAGGATCTGTTTCCTAACAGATCTCTACTAGCTGTCGGATCTGAGTAGCCCATCCTTCAGAAGAGAAACCCACGGTCGCGTTTGCCCTACAGAAGACACATTGAGTCACACCCGCGCGTGTTTACCGTCCTCACGGGCACCGATGCGCTCTCGGTCTCCATAGCAGCTGCCTCTCGCTTCAGTATCGCGTTTGAGCAACCTGCCCGTGAGTATATCAGTTAAAGCGAGAGTACAACTGCCCAATGAGGTCAATCGTCTATTTGTGGACGTGTAGTAAATCTCGCATAACCTGCAATACGCGACGCTCCTGCAGAAAGCGCGTCTCAAATGCGGAGAGCGTCAGTTTGTGACGCGCTCCACTCCCTCTCATCAGCACCAGCGCGGCAGGGAGGGACTGCAGACTCGGGCTGGTATCAAACCAATAATGAAAGCATAGAAAATGTGATGCGGGGTCAGTTACTGCAATTACACGAGGACGAATTTGGACTTTGCACTGATAGTTGGACATTATATTATGTTTAAGCTAAAACAACATTATGATAACTTGATATTAAAATAATGCCGTAAACATTAACTAGGCTAAATACAATAATATTATAGCCTATTGTACATTACATGACATGACTGCATTAACTAATATGATCTATCAATGAACAATACATTTGTTACAGTAGCTATTTATTTATCTTTGTTAACGTTCATTAACTGTTCATTGTCAATGTTAACTCACTTCCATTAAATAATGTTAGATACCTTTCGATTTTAATAATGTTAATAAACCTTGGAATCAACTAAGATTAATAAATGCTTTAGAAGTATTTTTCATTGTTACTTAATGTTAACTAATATTAACTAATGTGACCTTATTGCAAAGTGTTACTAAATAATAAATAAAATGCCCAAAGAATTATTATTATTATTAAGAGGAACTATTTAAATAAAATATGATTAAAGTGATGTGTCACACAGAGACTTTTGAACGCCCTTGTCATTATATATTATATATATCATGACAAACAGAATTTAACCATTCATCATTCATTTCATTAGCCTAATTAAAGTTTTTTAATCATCTATACTTTTTTTCACTTCCAAAAATCATAATTTTACAGTGTTTTTTTTTCTCAATAAAATGGCACATCTAATACTATATACTTTTTCAATATATAAAGAACCTAGAAATTTTTTTTACAGTCGCATTCTTTTTCTGTTAAAATTATTAGCATTTTTTACAGTGTATTGTTTACTAAAACAAGACTATATGTTTATTACACTGTGCTAAAATGTTTCTTTTCAACCCTATTATGCTGTAACACATCCCCCTTTAAATGAAAGCTTTGATCTTTCACATCACATTTGAGGGAATGACATCATATATGGGACAAAAGGGTCAAAGACTGGAATTGCATGGGAAAGAATCAGTGTTTTTCCATTCAGTGATATCAGAGGATTGTGGCAGCCTAATGAAAGTCATTTCGGATATTTTTTTTCTTCTTTTTTTTTGGTCTCAGGGACAATTTAAGCCCAGACGTTTTTGTTAGCTCTGTAATTCATGTTTATGGTTGCCGGCATTGGCTGTGAGGCCTTGCAAAGACCGTTTGGAAAAGACAAATCAATAAAAACTTGCTGGCTTCGTTCCCACAAGAGCTATAACACACACTATACACACACATTGTTATTAAATATTGCTGGGCTTTCCACTGATTTCTGTTGTCTTTAAAGGGGTCATATGATGTTGCTAAAAAGAACATTATTTGGTGTATTTGGTGTAATGAAATGTGTTTATGCGGTTTAAGGTTCAAAAAACACATTATTTTTCCACATACTGTACATACTGTATTCTCCTCTATGCCCCGCCTTTCTGAAACGCGTCGATTTTTACAAAACTCATCGGTCTGAAAAGCACTTTACAGATCTTCTTTATGCACCAAGAGCTTGTAACACTCCAAAGAGAAAGGAAAAATTGAAATCGCATCATATGACCCCTTTAAATTAAACTAATTAGCCTCTTACACCAAACCTAACCTTTACAGTTTAGTACAGTGTTCAGTTATACTAACAGACAGCTGTTTAGAACATTGATTTGCTTAAGAGGAAATGTGTAGGCTATAATGGTTGTCAGTATGATATAAAAAAATATATAAATAAATCTTGTCATCATAAATCTACATGGCATTTCTATAATTAATCTTTTTGTGACCAAAACAGTTATTATTACGGTGAAAATACGTTTTATCTTCGTCACAATTAAAATAGCCTAATTGATGTATGCTCATCTCGAATGAAGAAGTCCGCAGTGTAACCATAGACAGTGTAACACTAGGGGGACGTTTTTAGTTGTTGCACCGAAAGCGCGCCGGTGGTGTTTTAATGGTACACCAGCGTCTCTTCCGGTCTCTTTCGAATCAGCTCTGAGGAAAGATGGTGAGTTTCACAAGGCATTGCCTTCAGAATCCTCTAACATCTGATTCATGGCTTGTTGTTAATCACTGTGTCATTAATAATATCACAAGCATATATATTCAAGACTCATTATCATCTATTATGTTTGTGATTCCTCGATAGTGAAATGTTTTAGATTATATTTTTATCGGTTAGCATGTCGCTTAGCCTTCACGTTCAGTTCCGACGAGCTCGAGAAATACACCGGTTACCTTTGAAACGATCTCCCAAGAGTTCATTTTAAATAATGTTATATACGTAGTTTTGGATGCTAATATACCTGGGACCATTTGAATGTCTAAAACTGTCGGATAAGCGTTACGAAGCGAGTTGTGTTTCTGAGTGACTTTCGTGGCATGAGTTTAGATGGTGAAGTTTCTGCAAACATACTCGGCTGCGTCTCGGAGCCTAATAAGCTGCTTTTCTAGACAGCATTTTTGTGCGTTATATCCTAGTGTGCTTCCCTCCCTAGACAGTTCAATGGGAAGTCATAGTCTCTGGTTACTTTTTATCAATGTTATTCTTCCTGAAACATACTACGTGTGCATCTTCGTCTAAACTTACTTAGCTAACTTCATAACCTTGAGGGCAACAACCTAGTGAGCTGCCTAATTAGACATCATATTTAGGAACATCTCAGAATCTAGACCGCTATGGAGCTGCCTGCATAGACATCACTTATGGGCGTTATGGTGTCCAAAGCAGGATGTGAATGAATGCTGTCTAGGTGGGCAGTTTGCTGTTGTATGAATGAGAACATTTAAATCTAAGCAGTAATGTGAATTGTGTTTTCCAGACGAAGGGTACGTCATCTTTCGGTAAGCGTCATAATAAGACGCACACTCTGTGCCGCAGATGTGGATCCAAGGCATATCACCTGCAGAAGTCCACCTGCGGGAAGTGTGGCTACCCTGCCAAGCGCAAGAGAAAGTGTAAGTGTCTTGATTTGTATATGAACTATCACCGTCAAAAGCATTGCTTTTGCATTGATTTGGATTAAGTAGCTTTATTGGTATGCTAAAATTGCTTAATTTTAACATTGCTTATATTAAAGGAGTAGTTCACCCTCAGGCCACCCAAGATGTAGATGAGTTAAGATTCTTCATGGGAACAGATTTGGAGAAATTTAGCATTACATGACTTGCTCAGCAATGGATCCTCTGCAGTGAATGGGTGCCGTCAGAATGAGCGTCCAAACACCACTCAAGTCCATCAGTTAATGTCTTGTGAAAAGCAGCGTGTTTGTAAGAAACAAATCTATCATTAAGATTTTTAAATTTCAACCGGTTGTTTCCGGCATGAATACGAGTCCCCTATACATAATAGTAGAGGTCGACCGATGTATCGGTTTTGCCGATTAATCGGCACCGATAGTTTTTTGCTTTGAACTATCGGTTATCGGCAAAAATCCATGCCGATAGTTTTCCGGGTTGCTTACGTTGCTGGAACGGCTGAGAAGGGTCTGCTGTCATTATACAGTACGAGAGTGGCCTCTAGTGGTTGAAATCACTGACAGCACGTGCTATTTGGTTAGACGCGTGATACTGCGCGCTGAACAGAGCGGGAAACTTCAGACGCGGATTTAAACGCAGCCGACAGAAAATCCTGCCGCACCATTCACATAGTTTTCCATTAAATTACATTATATTTGTCCCGAATTGTTGTTAATGCTTCATTTATAGAGCTATAATATAGATCGCGCTTTCTATTTCCGTTTGCTCCGTTTTTTAAACACCGAACTTCAAACTCATCTATGCCTCATTGTTCGTTCATTCTTGAAGTAAACTTGTGTCCGTTTGGTGATTTAAATAAACTGTTTTAGACCGCTGCTCGAATTGAAGCGACGCGTCCAGAGTGTGTGTGATACCGGGGAGTTCTCCTAGACTCAGCGCTGCGCTTTTATTTTGATTAGATAATCATCAGGTGTTCAAGAATAGAAGTTAAAGTGTGAGAGTATACATACAATATCCATATGTATATAATTTTAATGCTATGACCTTTGTGTATATATTTAAAGATGTGCATCTTTAAGCATGACTGTTGAAATGAAATGGTAACACTTTAAAATAAGAGTCCATTTGTAACATTAAGATTAATGAAAGCTGTGTAATGAAAGTATTGTTCCTTGTTAGAGTGTGTTAATTTCAACATTTACTATTACTATTATTATTATTATT